CATCCCCCGCATCTGGATGGAAGAACGAGGGGTAAACCAGCAAACACATCTGGTACTAGTAGTCATAGTACCTGGCAAGCGATTCATGCTGCCTGATTTGTCTATCTTCACGGTCTATCTCAATTATTCAAGTATCTAGACTTGCTCGAGCAACGACCATTGCATGGCCCATGAGTCACCTTCCTGGGACATGCTCGACTGTCCCCCCTCACGATGGGAGGAAATCATCTCGTTAAGGACCTGCTAGAAATGTGAATACTGACATCGGGACATGTTCACCCGGAGTGATGCTACCTGTGAAAGAGGATCTTTCTTCGTAAACAACCAACCCTTGTAGGTCGTGAGCTTTTCAAATAAGTAACAACTAGAAACACACTTCACCTAATGCTCAATGCTCAATGATCAGATGATCCTCACAGACAGCATGAGCACACACACACACACACACACACATATCGAATCCCGCGTAAGCATAACTCTACCCACCCCGACCTCCCAATCTCCTCCCCGTCCCGAAAATCCAGAACCGAATTCCTTCTCCCCCCCCGAATCCCGTCATCCGCAAACCCCAGCTTTTCCCGCAAAACCCCCATAATAATGGTAACGGCCCAACCCCAAACCCCCACCTCCCATCGCGTCACATTCAACTTTCGGGAGTGGATCTTGGAGCAGAACAGGGAGTGGGCTGAAAGTTGTAGCCCGTCAGGGACTGCATGACCGACCCATTTACCCACACCGGCAGAAACCCCCAAGGGTCGCACGTCTTATCTCAATCCCACCGGAATGTAACCATATTTGACTGTGATCGTGGGGGCTCTCTAGGGTTGACCTACCAACTCCAACGCTGCGATTTCTCCTAGTTCTGCACGCTCCCAGGCGGGACCGGCCGATCGTCATGTCTAGATCGATGCATGGGGTCCCACGATTGCTTGTAGCGAATACTTAAGTAGTTTGCATGACCCTGTAGTTTGACCCCCATACCATATTGTTCTTGTTCTTTTGGTGGATGCGCTTCCCGTACGTTCCACCCTTCGACCACCGGTGCAAAGTGGCTTTGATATTTTCATCACAAAAGAGAACAGCTTGTACTACTGCATGAGCCCCTTCCATGGAAACAAATCACGCTCACTGATCCGCCAAAACCGAGCATATACACAATGGACCTCATACCGTCATGGAACGTCGTCCACCGCTTCGAGAAGCGCAAGCTCCTCATCGCCATCAACAGCGTGGCCGCCCTCTCCATCCTCTTCTTCGGGTACGACCAGGGGGTGATGGCGGGCGTGAACAACTCCAAGGACTACATCGACCTGATGGGGTTCGGGTACACGAAGATGGAGAACGGGGAGCTGACCGCCGTGGTCACGGACAGTCTGTTGCAGGGGGGCATTGTTTCGGTCTACTACCTGGGTACGCTGTGCGGCGCGCTCCTTGGGGGCTGGGTCGGGGACAAGGTTGGGCGGATCAGGACGATTGCCGTCGGGGCGGCCTGGGCGGTGGTCGGCGCCTGTTTGCAGTGCTCGGCGCAGAATCACGATTGGATGATCTGCGGTGAGTTGGGTCTCTGTGAATCCGGATGCACGCTATCCGATAGCTGATGCAGAGAGGCGGGCTGATGCTAATGGGATTGATGTAGCGCGCTTGGTCAATGGGATCGGGACTGGAATCTTGAATGCAATCGTCCCGGTTTGGGCGACAGAGACGGCGGAGCATACATCGCGTGGCCAATTCATTGCGATTGAGTTCACGCTGAATATCTTCGGTGTGGTGGTGGCTTATTGGTTGGAGTTGTACGTATCCAATTGTTGGTTTGTTTCAACCTGGTTCAGCAGCACATGCTAAGATCAATTGCAGCGGTCTGTCCTTCATCGACGGCGGCAAGTCCGCGTTCCGCTGGCGGTTCCCCATCGCCTTCCAGATCATCTTCCTCCTCATGTTGTTTGGCGTGGTCTGGTTCTTCCCCGAGTCGCCCCGGTGGCTCGTCAAGGTCGGTCGCGAGCAAGAAGCGCGCTACATTCTCGGCCGGCTGCGCGGCAACACGGGGGATGATGCTGTGCGCGCCGAGGCGGAGTTCCGGGACATCCAGAGTGTGGCCGAGCTGGAGCGGTCGATGAACCACAGTACTTCATACCTAGCGATGTTGTTTGGGTACAAGACGGGGAAACTGCATCTGGGTCGACGGGTGCAGCTGGTCATCTGGCTTCAGATCATGCAAGAATGGGTTGGTATCGCAGGAGTCACAGTTTGTACGTTGACCCTTGACTCTCCCCTCATCTTTCGTCTGCATAGGCTTCTGACGCAAGTGAAACAAAACAGACGCCCCGACAATCTTCAGCATCGCAGGTTTCGACTCGATGAAAAGCCAATGGCTAAGTGGGTTGAACAATATCTTCTACATGGTAAGCCGGGTAATAGGTCACGATTGTGTACGCACATTCTGACGAGCCAAATCCCAGTTCGCTACCCTCATCTGCGTCTTCACGCTTGATCGCATCGGCCGCCGCTGGACGCTCTATTGGGGATCTACCGCGCAGGGGATCGCCATGTTCCTGGCGGGAGGCTTCTCGCGGCTGGCCATCAATGCTCGGGAGGCGGGCCACAGCGATAAGGCGGCCTCGTTTGGTGCGGCGGCCGCTGCGATGATCTTCATCTTTACCTCTGTGTTTGGCGCGACATGGCTGACTGGTATGTCTTATGATGGGATGCGTTCAGGAGAGAGGCTAACGCTGATATACGTAGTGCCATGGATCTACCCAGCCGAGATCTACCCGCTTGCGGTGCGGGCCCGCGGCAACGCCTGGGGAGTCGTTGGGTGGAGCATCGGAAATGGTTGGCTGGTTAGTGTGCCCCTAGCGAGCCCGTGCTTTTCATTTCCCTTTCCCCGTTAGAGAACGTGGCATTCGTGGATGACGGAGCGTGAAGGAATGACTGGAGTTGATGGAGATGACTTGGAATGGACGGGCTTCCAAAGATCCCCCGTGCGGGAAGCCAGACGAAGCACAAGCGCGGCTACCATGACTGTACACCCGCTAACGAATCTCTCTCCTAGACCCTGCTATGCCCCGTGATGTTCAGCGCCATCGGCGAGAAGACGTTGTATGTGTTCGCAGCGAGCAATGTCATTACGATCCCGATGGTCTGGGCGCTGTACCCGGAGAGTAACCAGCGGACCTTGGAGGATATGGATCTGTTGTTCGCGGCGGACTCTCCATGGGTGTGGGATGCCGAGAAGACGTTTGCGAGGTTGAAGGCGGAGAATCCGGGGTATGTTGAGACTACGGCCAGGAAGGGGAGTTTGGTGGTGGAGCATGTGAATGTATAGCACGGCAGGATGGGATGTAGCTAGTAGTTTAGCGCTATTTAGACGAGCCCCTAGCTCGACTGCTGCTAAGTGGCGTGAATTATTGATCTGCCTTAATTTCTACGTACTTCCAGGCTAGTTAACCCAATTAAATGATAAACATAAACCATCTATCTTAATGTACTACGTAGTAAGGTAAGGTACTTGGCAGCCTGCAGGTGTGCATACCGGATAACCTTCCGAACCGAAGAGACGACAACCCGCAATGATTGGTCAATTCCACAGCAATCCGGACCTCATCTCCATACCTACCGCTCAATAACAACCTCCTCCTCAAATCATCGTAACTACTTATACCGTCTCCTAGACTAAAAACCACTGCACCCTCAATTACTCAAATTCTTTCACAGTTGCAAGCCTCCAACTCAGCCACCCTCCACACAACCAAGGTAACTCACCACCGTAACTTCCAGCAACACGAACAAGCTGACTAATCCCCACCCTCCCAAGGGCCCATCCATCCATCAATCCCTCCAAACCATCACAGACACAGCCTACAGAGTCACAAACACAAAGACCAGAAGCTAGTCTGCTGCCTCTCAACACACCCCAACCTACAGATTAAAGGACATTCCAGACTACAAACCCCAAACCCAGCAATCCCACCCACCCACTCACCACAACATACACACACCTATAACCCCCAATACATAAGTGACTACAACCACACAAAATGCCCACCCCAGAACCCACTACAAAAACCACCAAAGCACCCAAACCCAAGAACCAAGCCCCATCCCTAAACCCCATCACCACTACCACCACCACCACTTCCACCCCCACCCCCAAGAAAACCCTCCACCGCATCCACACCCACCCAACCCTCCCCCCGCACCGCCGGAACATCTACAAGACCTTACTCACCGTCCCCGCCGGCCGGTGGACGACCTACGCCGCGCTGGCGCGGCACCTGGGCACGAGCCCGCGGGCCGTCGGCGCGGCGATGCGCCTGAACCCCTTCGCGCCGGAGGTGCCCTGCCACCGGGTGCTGGGCGGGGGCGGGCGGCTGCTGGTCGGGTACTCCGGGGGCCCTGGGGCGGGGGCCGGAAGAGCGAGGGACGGGGTGGGGATGAAGCGCCGGTTGCTGGAGGCGGAGGGGGTGGTGTTTGATGGGGAGGGGAGGGCGGGTGGGGTTTGTTTTGTGGATTTCGGGGAGGAGGGGTCTTCGGGATGAGAGGGCAGAGGGTTATGTTTAGGGTTACATGAGATTGTGATTTATGATCGGGTTGGAAGAAGGGTCAAGGTCATATCATGGAAGGTTTAGGTATGTTCGTGTATAGTATCTAATAATATGGGGGACCGGTCAAACTTTCAGTAGAAGATGTAAATGCAAATGCAAAAAGATAACCCAGACAAGAAGCTGCTGATCCATGACACCGAGTCCAATGTACAACCACAATAAACGCCGCCTTGGCCCAGTCCACCTCCCTCACTCTATTGTGAGGTACATTCATGGAGACATAATGTAAAACAACAGAACATGACATAGGAAAGGACATGAGGACATAAGTATGAACATAAACATAAACATAAACATAAACATCTGACAAAGGAAAAGGGTATCTCTATTCATAACACAACACACGGAGACAAAAACTAGACAAGGCAGGCCACATAGACATCATGGATCCATCTAAGCTGTCTTGGCCCGCTTGGCTGCCCGCCGCTTGGGCACGTCCCAGTGGTGGAAGGAGCGTAGATGCTCGATCAGATGGTCCCGACGAGGGAACCCATTGCCATCCTTGCGGAGACATTCCTGCACGGGACAGTCCTGGAAGACAGGATTGTGGACGCTGGTCTGGTGACGTTTCAGATCGGCTGGCCGAGTAAACGCCTTATTGCAGTCCTCGCAGGTGTAGGGCTTGACGGGTCTGCAGGGTCTGCGGGTTAGCTTTGTGGACTAACAACCACCCAGAAAAAAAAAACCGAAAAAAGAAAATGGGGAACTCACTTGGACGCGTCGAGGGTCTCGTAACTTTCAACGGGAGAGTAAACAACTTCCGGGTTCGGGCTGGATTGGGTGGGGATCCACTCTATATTGGGCACCGGGAACGAAGACGCTGGAATTGGAAGCTGGTGGAACGAGTAGGCTTCGGGCGAATAGACCATGGGCGAGGCCGTGAAGGTGTTGTTGTTGCTGGGGTAGTACATGTCGAAGGTCGACGAGGCCACCGTCTGGGGAGAACTGAAGGGTGTCGAGTCGTATGATGAGGGCTCGTATGTGGGCTGGACGAAAGACATCTCCGTCCCTACCATCCCATACAACGACGGGTGGCCCATGTATCCCAGAGTCGATTGCATGGACTCTTCACTGCTGGTGGAGTACGAGTGTTCCATTGGGGGACATTCAAGCATAGGAGGGCTCTATAAGGGTTCAAGTCAGTCTTGGTATCTTGCGATAGGTAACCCTCACATAGCCTGGGACTCACCATTGCAGACATGGCATACATTGTGGAGTCAAGTAAAGGAAAATAAGAAAGTATATACAACGGTGAGGACGCGATGAAAGAAAGAGTGTGTGTGGGAGAGAGAGAGAGAAAGAGTTTCAGTAAATCAATAGTCCGCAAGGGTTCTTTTATCCAAGAGAGACCGTGATACTAGTGAATAACAAGCAAAAGCGTGAAGCAGCCAGACTGGGCTTTCCGGGTTTTTATAACCATTGTCTTCTTTGATCAGGTCAGGTCGACTACGTCGCACTTGCATTAGACGCGGCCGGTGCTTCTCCACTGCAAAAACAGCCCAAACGGCCAGCGCCAGAGAAGCTAAGCAACACGAACGCACCCACGGCGACATCATCAGGTGAGCGCGCTACGGACTAGTATGATCTTCCACTAAAATGCTAGGGTGGGTGGGTGGGAAAAAGAAGGGAAGAGTGGATTGGGAAGGAGAAATGAGGGGAGGGGGGGGGTGTGGATGGTAGACTCAATACTCAATGCAGCCTGGGAGCCCTGGGAAATGGGAACCGGGAATAATGCAGGAGGAATTGGAGGAGAAAACAACAACAACCACAGTTTCCCACAGTTTACCACAGTTTACCACACAGCCCCCCCCGCCAGCGGGGCACTGCAATTGGCGAGTGGGCAGATTGCAAACCTTTGGAAGTGAAGCGATCCCGGCTAGTGCTGACGCTAGAAGCACCGAAGAACCAAAGAACCTTCTTCCAAGCTTCTAGGGGCGATTATTTCTGGTTGATTGGTGGTTGGCACGGAAAGTAACCAGCGACGGACTCCACTCCGGCCCGAGAAAAAAGAGGAGCCATTCCAATGATTCCAACCAAAACCAGCCAAAAGTCCAAGACACTCTGCGGTGAAGGCTGACACTCGAATCAACCTAATCAACCTAATCATCCTGATATCGTCATAGGGAAGAGCGATCCCCCACATCAACTGATTAAGTGATAAATAATAATTCAAACCAATTCGGTGGACCGTCGGCTGCTACCATCTTAGTCGCAAGTTGGGCCTCGATGAAGGACTGGCCAAGGTTCTGGAAAAAAATGATGCGGGCTAGGATCGATTCCTGACTCGTTCCAACAAGACCGCCATTTCCCTTCGACCTTTTTCTTCATCTCCCTCTCGCCCTTTCCCCAGGCGGGAAAGTTTTCGAAGCGGAGCCTGCCGACGGAGCTCACCAGATGCATTTGGCGAGACGAGACTGAACGGAAAAGCCTCCCGATGATGTCGACCGGAGATACAGAAAGTATCAAAAGTACTGAACTGTCTGTCTGTAGCTCAGCTGTCACGAGCCGCCCTTGTGCAGGAGTCATCGAACCCCGGGGCCATCGGGCAAAAGAGATGCAGAGAATGCATCTTGGGGAAAGGCGGGAGGAACGTGATCGCAGCGAGCGAATGGGGAAAGATCGAATCGATCGGAATGGATCGTGGGTGGTTGGCGATAAGAGCTGAGAACAGACTGCAATTGACGAGGAAGGGAGGAAGGGTTAGTAGGTAATTTCCCCAGCCGGGAATGGAATACCTCGCAGTTCGGCACGGGCTTCCCGGTGCGTTACTTTCCTGTTACTTTTTTTTTTTTTTCGTTGTTCTTTTCTTTTCTTGTTGTCGCTAAATAACGATCGATTTGGCTCTTGTTCAATTCCCGACAGCCTTGTTGGAAGTGCCAAGAAGCGAAGCACGGGTGGTGGGATTCGGTCTGGGGAAACGAAAGTAACAATGACGATGATGATGAGCAAGAAGGCAAGATGCAGGCGAGAAGCAACCGAAGAACTTACATTCACTCACCCACCTCCATCAATACCCGCACAGCCCCTCCCGCGGTCAGAATGAGGTTGAATCTGACACAGCCAGCACTGAAGCTGTTCCTGCTCCTATCCTGCGCGTGTAAAATCGCGCATGACATGAAGCTCTTTATCGTTCCTGCGGTAGAAGGAAGTGAGGCGACTTGCGCGATATTTCCCCAGACCAGCGTGCTTCATTCTTATTGATGCTTCATGACTTACTGGTCACTGGCCACTGGCCACTGGTCACTGGTCAACTTGACGCTTAACACTGTGCAGTACAGCCTGGAGGAGGACCGAGTTATCCGAGCAGGGCTTCCTCGCAAGGTTGTCTGCCGCGGTACGTTTGCTCGATTAACGACCAACTTACTGTAGATATCACGAGCCTCTCAGTAATCCACACCTCACCTATGATTGATTGACCGGTAATAGAAGAACCACCCGTCATCCGTGCCAGACCACCTGGACCAGCTACTTACTCTTCTCAGTACCAGGACCTACCTACTTGGTAGCTCAGGCAGGGTCTTTTGGTCTCGACTGGTCTTTCCTTAGACGAGTTGATCCAAGCGGCGGCAATTCCATCATCGCAGGACCCATTCTTCCTTATCCTCGAACATCCTTAATTTCCTCTCGGTACCCACGGGTGTGATACCCAATCTACAAATCGATTCTAGCTCCAACGAGCTCGAGAGATGGAGTACGTACGTACGTACGGTGCACCCACCCACTCTGAGGAAAGAGGGTCGTCGCGGCTCAAGCACCTCACGGCCGGCAGGCAGGCAACTATTTTCCCTGCAGGTCTTCTCAAGATCCAACTAATTAATTTCCTTTGTCCATCGAAGTTCCCTACGGACCCTCTTGCTTCCCGCGCGCTCATTGCCGCCGCTAAAGGCATTAATTCGGCTCCCCCCCAAAAACACAAAAACCAAAACAAACAAACCACTTTTCCCACTTGTTCTCGGGTCCGTGCTGGGGGAAAATCTTCAATTCTTCCCACTTGGTCGACTATTTTTACACCGACTTTCTACCGTACCATCTGATATACGGTGAGAGAAGAGCGAATCACCAGAGCACGGAGCACACGATGTTCGTCTTCATGGTTCTCGATGACGTCTAAGTTAGTCTCTGTCTCTGAAGGTACCTAGTCTCCAGAGAAAAAAGAAAAAGAAAAAAAAAACGAAAAAAAACTCTGCACTTTCTTTCTTTGTTCTCTTGATTGTGTTTTGACCCCCTCTCCTACTGGATTTTGTCCGTCCTGCATGATTTCCGAGTCTTATCCACCGTTCTCCCCTGCCCCCCCCCCCCCCCCCGGGTCTTCCTTGAACCTACCCTACCTAGTACGGGAGTCTAGTTTACTCTGCATACATAAGGTACTAACTGTGTATGTA